CTCATACGTGTGGATTAAGCTTAAATTAATGACTTTTTTCCAACGGACAGTCCAGAAGCTGTGCTACTCCAAGCTCAGCCTGAGCCTATTCGTTTTTAGCGTCGTCTCTCCACGCAATCACAACAATTTGATTGGTGTTTAAAATTACATTTGCGAGCTAGCCACACCAGCCATCAACTCCTATACGATTGCAAAGGAAACATTTATAGCGAATACGACGACACATCCATCTCGGAAAAAAGATTTGGCCATGGACAATTGTAGTAACTATCACGTGTGCCTAGGACTATGCTTTTTTAATGCTAATCTAAATCCAATTTAAAGTATGGGTTTGGGACCTTAAACAATTTTTCTGTGATTCGCTGTCGATTTTCGTAAACGTGTATGCATCGACGAATGCGAAACGAATTATTCTTAGATAGTTTATTTGTGGAAAAGAGAATAGAGAACGTGCCGAAAGCAATCGTTGTTCTTAGCCATATATATGCATTACGGGACCTCATGCAAGCGATTGGAGCCTCGAAATCGTCGTTCCAACATTGGGTTCTCTCTGATAAAAATGTCTGGGAACATTCACATGAAAGAGAAGCATCATTTTGCAAAGAAAAGAGAGCCAAGGCTTTCCGGCTCAATTTAAGGTATATCTGCACGGCCAAGGCAATATAGGCAATGAAGTGTCTATAATCACCATCTACAGCCAAATGGGCAAAGTATTACGGTGATTTTCTTTGGTTCTAAACCCTTTTTTCTATTGAACCCATTTAAAGGCATAGGTACGCTGTAATGGAGGACATTCAAAGCGGTTTTATCGGTGAAAATTAGAATTAGGCGGTTAATGCGCTGCACTGTCAAACTGTATATTCACGAGCTGCAAACTCCCAGGAACCTGCCACTTTTATCTAGCCTAATTGTTTATTATTTTGTGTACGCATTTTGCGCGGAATAACTTCTTTCACTTTCCGCTTCAAACTTCTTTAAATTACCGTCCAACAAGGCTTCGAGCTCAAATTACTACTTGTCGATAAATATTACTAAACGTCTATTGGACGTTTTCAAGGTCTTTGCGAGATGATTATGGGGAGCATTTCGGAGGTAACTTGGATATTTTGGATGTCCATCATTTGCAGACTGGTGACCTCCCCTCAAGGGACAGCGTTTTTGGATTTAAGGCTATTTCTTGGTTTAAGTTGGTTTATATTCGCTAAACAATTTAGACCGCTTGCGCACATTACCCACGTTGCCGTGTGCAACAACATAATATTTGCGGCCACAACTGCGAACAAGCTCATAATCGCAAGAGTTCTGGATCATAGCTATATTGCAGGTTGAAAAGTGCATTCTTAATGACCCATACTATGCACATAAAGTGTTTCGCTACTATTGTTTCGCGTACTTAGCAATGTTAAATGCACACTATTCTATGCGTATGCCTTTTCTGAATCTTATGTGTAGTTCTCTGACTGACTTTTGTTGTGTTCATAGAAGTTGAAATTTCTTCACATTCTGACGACCGCGTGCATAATCTCTTTGTGGATCCACATGGATATCATATTGTCATCAGCATGCAATCAGGCCTGAATTTATATGCCACAAGAAAGTACAAAAAACTTAAGCAGATTCAAAAGGCCAAGGTAATTCGTAGGTCACTCATCATTGTCAGGATCTTTTGATTGATTCCGTTGCCTGGAACCAGTGTAACGAGAGTGATGTGACCACACAAGAAATTCTTGTTGGTACAAATGATGGCATTATCTTTGAAGCAATGCTTTCAAGTTCAGAGGAGTCCTTGTACTCATCAAACTGTACAGTGATATGGAAAGAAGTGAGAATAATTTTACTGATTACTTATCGTCATTGGCCACGCATTGTTTACCATCCATTTGGTTTTAATGCAACAGAGTTAAGACTGAGTTTTTCATTTGATTACCGACCTATTCGTTTTTGTCTTAAAATTTCAGAAATTTTCCTGTGTAGTTCTTAAACATTTTGCACATTTAGCTTATACGACTGGACCAGAGTATCACTGGTTTAGTCGTAGTTCGCTACCCACCAGGATCAGCGCTGGTTCCTGTCGGAGAGCCGCATCTCTGCGCTGTTCTTGCATCTACACCTTGTCGCCTTTATCAGTTTTTCGGTCGCATGCAATCATTTGATCTAGCTTCTGCTCGTCACTACATAAGTCCCCAGTCCGCCGCCACGGCCTTACGCGAAGGATACATACCTGGCTTCTATGCTCCCGTGTTTGCACCTTATTCGCAAAACCTGTCGGGTAACAAAATAGGTTTTCTGTTACCCTTCTCATGAACGCCAAGGATGTCTGTGTATCTTTCATCACAAAAAAAATTAGTGTACTAATTTGCAATTTTAGGTGCCAAGTTTATCGAATTTCCAGGCTCATATGGTTACAGCGACCTTAAAGTGTTTCAAAAGAAAGGCGAGGAAGTTCCAAGCCAGGTTGTCTGGATGACAGGTGATAGTGGTGTTTTAGACCGTTTATTTCGGGAAGAACTTGCGCGTTTGCATTAGCTTATTGTAGCATCGGGTATATACTTCTGCCGATTGGATCCAACTCGCTTGGTAGACTCAGAGGTGGCTTCCAGTGCTAATGATTCGACGACGCCTCTGCGAATTTCCTTATCAAATTATGCTAAATTGATTCCCTATCCAACGATGGCGGGGGAATCATTCAGCCTACCTCTATGCTTGTCTCTCACGGAGTTCCATGTTGTCATCGCCTACGCTGATCGTGTCAAAGCTGTTAATCTGCTTGACGATCGGGCTGTTTTTTCACGAAGTATTCGTGAAGTTCTCGGCGGTATGCAGTTAGGTGGCGTTTGCAGGGATCCAATAGTGGGCTGTCTCTGGCTTTACAGTAGCACGGCTCTCTGTCAACTCACCGTAGATCACGAAGATTGGCGTGTTTGGAAAATTCATCTTGATAGGAAAGAGTTCAAAGAGGCTCGAAAGCATTGCAAGGTTTGGAATAATGCCATTTATGCTCACATGTGTGTATGAATTCACACTGCCTTTTCATTTGTAGACATTGGAACAATTGGACGTTGTTGCTTCCCAGGAAGCGGAGTTCTATTTCACGCATGGCGAGTAGGTTCATCTTTTGTAGGTGTATTCAGCCATATCTGTGACGTTTAGGTTTTGCGTTCAATCCACTTTTAGCAACACTGATGTTTACTTCTCCATTGTTAGACCACAATCGCGTTTAGTATTTTCCCCGATACTTGGTGGTCATATGACTATTTTTTGGCTGATTCAGCACTTTTAGCAGTCACTGAAAGATTGCGCAGTTTTTATTTTCGCTCTTGCGGCGATCTGAAATGCTGCCCAATTATTCGCGTCCGCAATTATCTTAGGTATGTGAAATCAGCGGAGTTATTTGCTGAAACTTCGATGCCATTTGAGGAGGTAGCTCTTCGCTTCAGTCAGATTTCAGTTCTCACTGATGCCAATGGTGGGGACACTGATAGTGCAAATGTAGCGTCCGCCATTGCCTTAACCGAAGATTATGTGGTGGTCGATGAACGGGAGTGGAAAAATGATGACAGGGAAGTGGATGATGCCAAAACCCCCAATACTGTTTCTTCATGTGGTATAAACTTGCAGCCCTTCATGCCCTGTACGCCCCTGAAGGTCTATCTTCGAACGAAACTGAGGTGCCTTGAAAGCGAGACCAATGCCGGACAGGTGACCGTCATATCCCTCTGGCTAATTGAATTGCTACTGGGCGAAATTAGCCTCTTGGAGGATAAATGTGCTAAAGCTGTTGCACCGGGTGTAAGGCATGAGGAACTGGCCGATGTTCGAAATGAATTCCGTCTTCTCATCACATCTTCCAAAGTTTTGGTAGGATAAATTGAAGTATAAAAAACCTGGGTCCTAATCACTTGAGTAACTAGCTTATATTATACTGGCTTTCGTAGGTTCTCGGCACAAATTCAGTTTATTTAAATAACGATGGACTTGTGATAGATAATTTTTGTATACTAGTAGCGACATTCTTGGCAATGTCTACAAGATCATAAATAATACATGGGGTCGAAAATACGCATAACTGTTATGGCATATATTTATGGATACTCACTTTCTCGTCAGAAGATTCTGCCGAAATGCAAGGATGTGATCTACAGTCTACTGTCAAGCCACGGAATTTCCGATGACTTCGTGTTTTTCTCCAAGATAAATGGAGGTGAGCCACATTATATTTTATAAATTTCCCACATTAGCGCATTTGAAAAGTTCTTCCTCAAGGTGCCTTTGGTTAACAATTAATTCAAATCGATCCAACTGGTCCTTTTTGCTTGACGTATCAACCTTTCCATGATCCCTCAATTTAGTTAGTAAGTCGCACTCAGTTTTTACAAAAATTTTTGCTGATTGTACCAAGACCTTAATATGCAGTTTAAATTGTAAGGAGCGAGCTCGGTTGAAGGCATCCTTAAGTATTAGCTGCTACTTCACACTCACATTAATTTTAGTGGTACAGTATAAATCTGATTGGGGTGTTTCTCTTGGTTCCAGATTACGATCGTCTGGTCGATCACTACATGTCACGGGGCTCCTACGCGGAGGCGCTTTCCGTCCTTACTGCTCATCCTTCTTGTGCAGCAAAGCTTTATCAATATAGCACCCAATTGGCTCCATGTGAACCAAAAATGCTTGTTGATGCTTGGATTCGTGCTGGACGGCAGTTGTGTCCTTGCAGGCAAGCTTATAATCTTCTCTGACACTTCATCCCTTGCAACTGTGGTTTTGGGAGTAGAGCGAGTTGCGTATCAGTTATGGCCGTAGGTATAAGCATAAAATAGTAATTACGAAGACAAATATTCTGTTAAAAGGCCAGTTTTCTCACCAACGGTCTGTTTGTGTTATACAGTACGACTGAATGTTTAAATGAACGCCTTTATTGAATGAATTTTGTGTTGACTAACAATTTCTACCTCTTCAACTAGTATTGCGGACTTTTGACCTAGGCTTCTGTCTAGTGTACTGCTGCTTCTTCCTGACGAGGCTATCCGTTACTTGGAGTTTGTGCTTGATAAGTTGCAATGCCAAGAGCCAGCGATACATCACCAGCTCATTCACCTATATGCCAGCCTACCTGACGCCACCGCGGATGTACGTCTTCTTGCATACCTAGAGAAGTACACGCCGTCCAGTCTTTGCGAAATCTTTGCGGACGCAATTGGGGACCTTGATACGACAGAAAATGTATCCAAGACACTTTCTTCAGCATACACCGCCCTAACACCCGGTTGGTTGATATTATTTTCCTTCATCAAACATCTGAAAGTGTGTAAGCCACCGCGTGTTTTCTCATCTAACACATGCAGCCTATTTAGTTCTTTGTGTACTGTTTAATGTTTCGATTGGTTTTGCAATGTTAAAGTGGGTTCACCGTTATATTTGGATTTAATCATGTCTCAAGAGGTCCTTGATTTGGCCATATGGACTCTTAGCTAATTTTCTCAACATCACTGGTTCCCTTTCAATACGTACTTTTTTATCCTATGCTTGTAAGGTTTGCCTTATGATCCTGGTTTCGCAATCCGAATATCCATGGAGAAAGGCTGTTTACGATCAACTGTGTTTTTACTACAGTCGCTGGGACTCTTCAGTCAGGCGATCGAAGAGGCTCTTTCGAAGGTATAGCTTTTATTAAGGCTTTGTTAGTATTTAGAATGACATCCCTTTGGCTAAGGAAGTGATTAATTCAAATGCTCTTGGAATCGATACACAACGCACTCTCTGGCTGCGTATAGGTAGGCTACTTTCAATTTGGATAATCAACGAAGTCAATTCTATTTCTTTATTGGATATATGTAATTTACGTAATTTTGGCAGCCCGTCACGTTGTTACCGACCAGATTAGCCCGCAGGAGGCGACGGCTCTGTTGCAGGAGTCTTCTCTCCTTCGTTTGGAAGACGTATTTCCTCTTTTCCCTGATTTTGTCACTATCGATCAGTTCCGGGTGGGTTATATTTTGCGTGCATATATAAACAACCCTCCATGCTTGTCTTGATCCTCGTAGGAACCGTAAAATTGTGCCCTAGTTTTGTGGTGTATACTTTTTTTTCAACCAGTGGCCAGCTAATCAATCGTGCTCCCCAATCTGAATTTAGAGGTACCATTGTCAGCGATCATTAGCGGTTTTTTAGCTTCTTTCATGGTATATAATATATGCTTTTGCTTTGCAGGAGGTAATATGCGAATCTCTCGATGCTTACAATTCACAAATTGAGCAACTGAAGGCAGAGATGCGAGCTACTGTAGAGAGTTCAAATGAAATTCACGCCCAGCTCCATAACTTCAAGTCTCAGTAAGCTCTCCCCATTAGCACTTGTGTAGCGGCCGATGTGATAATCATCACAAATTCGATTGTAGCTACGAGATCATTCCAGAGAATGCTCGTTGCTTTCAATGCCTGCAAGCTATCACTCTACGCACATTTTACGTGTTTCCTTGTGGTCATCTCTTCCACACAGACTGTCTCCTGAACATGGTGAGCAAGTCAAAATACATCGATATTGAGGCTATGTTGAGTAGTAGACCATTTCTTAATTGCTCTATCGCCTTTTCCTTCTCATAGGTTCGACCTCTCCTGGGTCCCGATGATGCCGCGAAGCTGGCTGAACTCTGCTCTAAATCGGAAGTCGATGCTTCTGCCATTCAGCTGTTTCGGGCAAGAAGTTGTTGCCTTTGAAGTGTTGCATTGTATTCCTCCTTTCCACTTTAATCCTTCCGAATTTTCTGCACAGGCTCAGTTTGATGAACTGGTTGCTGCTGATTGCGCTCTTTGTGGGAAGATTGCCATCGACAGTGTTAATCGCCTCTACTACTCTGATGCGAAGTCATATGAAAGCGAAAGGAAAATCTGGCTCATATCTTAAAAAGAGGTCGCTGCTTTCTCTGATCGTGATTTAATGTATCGCTCTCCAAAAATATTATGGACTCTGGTATCCATGTTACGTGTTTACATTCGGCGAAATTAAGCTCCACTCTCGGGGGGTGGGAGGTGCGGGGCTTTGATGGTTTGACTGTTCTAACCCGGCGTCTATCGCTTCCTGGTGGGAGCCGCATCCTCAGTGCGTCGTTTCCTTGTTATAACTCGTAAGTTAGGTCATGTTCAAAAGAAATCGGAAATCAAACAAATATGGAGTTGTATATCGTGCAGTGTTCCACATTATTAAGCTTGGAAACATATGTTATGAAGTGGTACTAACGAAAGCTCCTCATTTAGGCTGCTTAAGGAGGCAATATTTTAGTGCGAATACTCCTTCAACCTATATGCTCACTGAGGCTTGTTTACTGCCGCGTATTCACCATGAGCTTTCACCATCAAGATGCTGTCAGGTCACATGATTGTGGCCCCAAAAGGATAATTGCTTCTGCTCTAGGAGGTCTTCTTACGTCCTTTGCTATGACACCTCTGGA